ACGGGGTGGTGCGTTAGTCAGCCTGGACCACGAGCTGTTTTAACAGAAAATCATACGCTAAATGAGGCACCGGGAAACAAATTTTTATCACTGGCCTGGCTGGGAGGCAGCCCCGGCCACTCTCACCAGCCCATGTTGAGCCAAGCAGCTCATCACCAAAGCCGAGGGGTCCAGTAGCAGTTTCCCCTTGGGAAATCGCATGGAACATCAGTTAAAGCCCCCTTGGGCAACACAGGATGTTTTTGGGGTGCCGGCTCACATGCTGGGCTGAGCAAGGACGAGCATCTCCTGCCCTGTGGCTGGAGGGGATAAAGCAGTAACACCTTTTGTGAGTCTGGCCAAAGACATGGGCGTCTTACAAGCCTAGCTCTGGTTCCTTTTTATTCCTGTGTATGTATCCGTAAATGGCCAATTACTTGTGGTACTCTGACAGGGACTTTCAGGCTCTCTATTTGTCTCCCTTCCTCCTGAGTCTCCTTGCATTAATGCAGACAATGGGATGAAACAACAGCTCAGAGTCCACAAAAGCTTTTTTTATCAAACGTGGTACCCTCTTTCTTGCAAGAGAGAATGGTCCGTGCCCTTGGAAGACACAAACAGCAGGAATACCGGTAATTTTCTGATCATTAAAATCTTCATTTACTTTTATTGCTATAGAAACACTCCAGATATTTGCATTCCTCACCCATTTGATTAACTTGAGGGTAGAGATCTCGGCACCAAGAACCGCAGAGTCTTGGTGAGTGCTGGAGCAGCGTCTCGGCCGCTTTGCAAAAGGAAAGCCAGGAGCAACCTTGCCAGTGCTGAGAAACAAAGCATTTTGTGCCCACCAAGGCTCCTCTGGGCTCCCAAAGTGCTTCCCGGTTGTCTAGCGATCCTAGCTGTGTTTTATGAGGCCTTATTCCAGGCCTACGTTCTGCTAATGCCGGATTTCAGCTCCAGCCCATGGGAGAAGCGTGGAGGTGGCGCAAGGTGACGTCCCTCCAGTTTCTTGCAGCCCAGGGGATGGCAAAACCAAAAAAAGAATAGAAAACAGGAAAATCCATGATGGGTATTTAGCAATTAGGTCTTAAACTGTGTCTACCCATGCCACCTTGATGCCAGAGGGTCCCGTCCTACTGAGCGGTTCCGGGACACCAGCACCACCACCAAATCTCCCCCCAACCCAAGCCAAGCAGAGCATAAAGGCACCAAAATGCACAAATCTTTAACATTGCATCCCCTTCCTCTCTTGCTCCTTATTCCCTGCCAAAAGTATAACCAGGAATAGAGGAGCCCTTGAGACTGGGTTGCTGTTTCCAAAGGCTGCAGCATTCCTGTTTTTATTTTTCACTTTGGCCAATACAAATTTTGTCTGACATCTATACTTTCTCTAGGTTTACTTCTAGCATTATTTTTCTTCTTATCCTCGCTTTAAGAGGAAAAAGAGCACTTTGAATTTTATCAAGGATTATGCCACAGTAGTAACCTTTTGCTAAGAATAGCTGACCATCAGACTTCTATGTGGTTATTATTTGGTGCACGTTGAATGACTTCTGGTTAAATTCAGCAAACGCTTCATTTCTATAAAACTTGTATTTAGAAAAAGAAAAAAAAAATCAATAGAAATGTTTCCATGCCTTCTTATTTCTCTCTTTCTGCTTTTGCAGGTTTCTTTTTTTCCTTTAATTTCCTGCACAAATTCATCCTCTCCTGGCTGTGAAGCAAGTGAGTGAGCATGTGGAAACTAGTAAGTGAGCAGGACTAGAAGCAAAAGTGAAACCTATTCCTTTTTCTTTTTTTTTTCTTTTTGCACTGGTTGGGCTGAAGGGCAAGGAAATTGGATTTTTAAAATCCCTTACCTTTTAAAGCTGTAAGGTATTATTAGGAGTGTAAGTAAATAAAACTGTTATACTGATGGTTTTCTAAAGCTGACGGCGTGCCCTTGAAGTGAGGAATAATCGCTGCAAAACTGGGCTCTTCTCTGATTGCAGCCGCTGATCTAACGTGAGCAGCCGGAAGGGGGAGCGCAGAACGGGCGGAGAGGAGACTTTACCAGCTAAGCCAGGACTTAAGATCAACGGGGTTAGTGCTGTAGATGTAGAAGGGTTTGGACTGTGTCACGAGTGTCCTGGTGAAGGAGCAGGGCGGTCGGTCCCAGAGGACCATCCCCACGAGCTCCTGGGCTGCTCCAGGGGTGCTCAAGGTCTATGGAAAGGAGATGTGGCCTTTGCTAGTCCCTGCTTTGAGAACAAGCCATAGGCAGCCGAGCACTAGAAACAGGTTGCAGCAACTTTGAATTTTCCAACATGATGCTCTGCAGCAGCTGGAGACAGCCCTGGAGGGGCTCTGTGGGCCAGGCCAGTGGTCAGACAGCAGAATGGATGCAGAAATGTTGGCTTTGACTTCTCTTTTCTCTACCCACATCTCTCCCTTGCAGGCTCGCGAGCATGTGCTGCAAATCTTCTATATCCATATGGCCATGGTCGCTCCTCCCTGATCCTGGGAATGCATTTAACCCTGGGATCCTGGAGATTTGCAGACTGGGCAATTCGTTATGCTCCCTATATAAAGATGTGAACGATGGCATACGGCTTGGGGCAGCAAATGTCTGAGCCCTGAGGTTTCTGCCTAAATAATACATGGCAGATCCCATAGTTTTACTGGATTCTCTCATTCCTCGGGCATGTTGTAAAGCAAGATACTCAGATCAGCTGCTTCCAGCCATCCAGCCAGGCGTGTGGCTTGTGTTCAGCAGCAAATGGGCAGAACATGCTGCATTTGCTCATAAAAGTCCCCAGATATACTCCCTTTGGATTGAAATTCATCATGTTTAATATAAAATCTTATACTTATCAGTTCCGTTGGTTTTAGCTGTTGGAAAACGTGTTTCTTTTTTTCTTTCTCTCTCTGTTTGCATTGATGGAAAGTCAGAAAATGAGATCATTCAAAAATGACTAAAAGCAAATAGGTCAGACCTGGCTTGTTATATGTATTTCACCGAGGCCCAAGTTTCGAGCCAAATGGAAAGAAAGTTAGCTGGGTAGGTTTAAAGCTGGCAGCACACATGGCAGCGTAAATGTTATGAATTATTTTAATGGCAAGCTGGGAAATGGTATTGCTTTTGTAAAATTATCTTGACAACAAATGGTCTTGTTCAAGGCTTTCCAAAATGGGCCAGCATATATCAGGCAGTCCCTGGCACGGGTGCTAGGAAAGAGACAGGATATCTGCATTGGGAATGAGCAAATCGCGTAGTATGTTGGGAGCGGCAAAGTCTGGGCATCAGATGTTCCGAGGTCTTTATTGTATTTCGGCGAACTTACTGTGAAAATACGTTCTTGATATGTGTGATCTGCAGGAAAAATAAATAAAAATCCCTCGGTGAAACTTAAACAAACTGTGACAGAAACATTTCCAGCACATTGCAGTAAAACAAGCTCACAGCTGATTTAAAAATGAAAATAAAAACATTGCTGCAGAAAGACCAACCTCTCCGGGCTGCACCGTGGGCCCTCGCCCAGGCCAAGTTCCACCGTCTCTCTGCCCTACGTGTCTCTGACACATCAGCACAGCAGCTTAGTGGCAGAAGGAGAAATGTTCTTGTGACTTCTACGAGCTTTGGCCGATGTGGGTGCTCACGCTACCTTTCTGAATCGCTGGTGCTATTTTTTTCTACAAATCAGGCACCAATCTTGCACAAATCAGGCTTTTGGAAGTAAGTAGCATCCAGTAGACAAATGCAGAGATGAACCTTTTTATCATCACTTTTCTTTGCCAGGCTTGTGTTTGCCCAGTGCAGCAGTATCTGGGTGACCACAATAACCTGTCATGTTCCTTTGCCCACAGCTGACAGCCCAAAGTGGATCCCTACCATATACTAAGTTGTTTGGGGATGACCCATTGCCAAGCAAATACGTGACAAGGAAAATCGGGGTTTTGCACCTTGTGCGTGTTCTTGGCTGTGTCTTAATTCTGGGCACCAAAATTTGCTGATTCTGACCAATTTGGGGGCAGGATGAGATCTTGGTTATCCGAGTGTGAAAGAAGCATCACTTGGATCCAAGAACATCACAGGGCAGCCGTACTGGTGTAAAAAGGAACTAAAGGGGCCACCAGGTGAAATCTGCTACTGAAGACAGCGGCTCGGGCATCATTAAACATCGCACGGAAGATGCTCCGTGAACAGGGATGTTAATTAACCTCATGGTCCTGGACCAACTCCAGCTCCTTTAATTACAGCCCTCACACCTGACATTCGCTCAGCACTTTTTACCAATTACGGGATGCTCTTTTTGGTTTTCCCCCGTTTTCTCCAGTGCAATATTCTTCGGGCCAGCAGGAGCAATGATGGATGCCCCAAGGTCTCCAGATTCCTCCAGTTTTCTGGTTGCTCTCACAGTGTGGACGCACACGGATATCCCAAGGGAAAGGCACAGCTCCCTGCGTCCCCCCTGCAGGGAACATAGGCCTCACCCCTACCTTACTATGCGCATAACCTGCATAAAATAGCAATAATAATGAGAATTAGGAACAACTTCAAGTGAGGAATAGTGCTATGCAAGGCAAGTGGCTAAGGGGAAACCTCAGGCGAGCCGGGGGTTGAGGAGGCCGCCTGCTCCACCGGCCCGGCACAAAATGAGGGATTCGTGGGGCGGGAGGGGGAAGATTTTTTTTTTTTTAACTTTACTTTAGCTTAGTCAATTTATGTAATTTTCCTTTATTTATTGCTTTTTTGTGACTGTGGCTCCTAGTGAGGGCGCACGGAGGCCCGGCGCGGGCCACCCCGGCCCAGCCCCGCGGCGGCGGCGGCGGCTCCGCCCCGGAGG